AGCCTGGCATATATTTTGCTAGTATATTACCCACAAGCAAAACACTGGGGGGTGTTAGCAATGGAAGGGACTTCCAGGTTACCTAGTTGGAACCTGTCATCTTACTGATGAGAAAATTCGTGGTGGGGTGACCTGTTAGAACTCCTCCCAGGTGTTTGTGCCTCGGTTGGGTTCACTCTGCCGCTGGGGCTCTGGGAAAACACCCATGATTGCGCAAAGCTGAAGCCCTGAGTCAGTGGGGTCTGCGAGTCTAACTTTCTGAGAGCTAGAAGGGCAGAAGTCTAAGCAGCCTGGGATTCTGCATTCCACCAGGCCTGCTGATTCGGGGGGCAGACTGAGCAGTCATCTTGCTGCCCGCCTCACGGGGCACATTCCGTTCATTTCCGGAGCAACACTGAAGGCAGCGAGGCAGGAGATGGTCTCCAAATACTCTGCTCCCCACTCTCCTCCGAGGGCAGCCCGAGTCTCAGTGGAGACTGACGCATCTTAGGGAGAAGCCACCCTTGCATTCCATTACGGTGTATTCCCATACAAGTGTGTACATTCATGTATTTACGAAACACGTATGATATGCTGAGAACATGCTCTGTGCTCTGTGCTTGCCAGAGCCTTCAGAGAGCGCAACAGCAGCACAGCACAGGGTAGAATATGATAAATGTCACCCCAATGGTACCAACACAGGTGAGAATTAGATTATAGTTATTGCATCTGGATATATAGGTCTCGAAGTTATATTCAAAGACTTCAGAGTCACACGAAATTCTTGCCAGCCAGCTGAATTTCTACCTGCTTGTCCCGTGCTTTCTAGTCATGAAGATGTCACCAGAAACAACTTGGAAGAATTTAGAAACTTGGCTTGGGGCCCCGGTGTTACTATTTACTAGCTGAGTGATCTTGAGCAAATTCCCTAATCTCCCTGATCATCAGTTGTTTTTTCTTCAGCAAGCATGACAGCACCTATCTTACAGCTCCTCAGAGGACGAAGACAATGCACGAGGGCAGGGGCTAAAACACAAGTTACTTCATGTCTCGGTGTTTCCCTGTCTTCCCGTGTAAAACCAGCGTAATAGAACGCTCTTCCGGCAATTCAGGAAATGAAATGAGATGATGATGCCTTCAGCACTTAACATATTTTTTAGTTATCCTATGAAAGTGTCCTATGAAGTATAAAATGTTAGATAAAAGTAAAATACTATTAACTATTGAAGTTAAGCTCAGTCAAAAGTAGAGTCCTGGGACCAGAATCATCCCGCGGTGCTACTCATCCGGGAGACTGGATAAAACAAGGCTTCAGGTTCCGCACAGTTCCAAAGTTCACGTAGATGGTTCTGCTTTGGTTGTATCCTGCTGAACATAGGCTTCTTTTCAGACCCTCTCCTCTCCCCTTTTTTTCTAGATTGCTTCTAGGAGGGTAATTCCTTTAAGGATCAGTTCCAAAGTATTTATGTTAGTCCTGCGTGCATAGAAAAAAACAATAATAATAATTAAACGACACCAAGGTTTTCTGTCTTAGTCTGCTTATTCTTATTCTTAAAAGCAGGAAGAATGATTTTTACCATCCTTGAGAGGTCGCCTCCTCAAAATGAGATAGCACAGCACCAAAACAATTTGAGACCTGAAGGGTGATCTGGGTAGAAAGGATGTAATTACCCACCTGAATTCGAAATTACGATAAGAAGATTCAATATTCTTTTCTTTGGGTTTGAACTCATCACTGTTGATGGGTGCTCATGAATTTCTGCCTTGGCAACCATTAAAAATTGACTTGTAGGCTATCTTTTGACCCATTTTTTAAGATGGCTCAATTCAGGTTTTTAAAAAAATCCATTGGAGACTTTTCACATTCGTTCAAATGACCCATTTTCAAAACAACCAATTTTTTTGTTGTTGTTAGAATTCACTCAGTTTCTATTCATACACTAGCTTGCATGTGGAGACAAAACTTGATATCTTAGTTGGGAGAAAATGAGCTTATTAAAATATTAGCTTTTCTCAAATCCAGACTTGTTCAGTCAATAGTAAGCAAGAGTGTGTAATGAAGGTATTTAGCTTAAGTCTGCAGAAAGAAAATGACTACCCATGCTTTTAAATTGTTGGCCTTAGGATTTTTTTTTTTTTTTTTTGAAATGCAAAGTAGTAGGAAGAGGAAGAGATGAAGAGAAGAAGAAGAATCTTGTTACGAAGTACGGACACATGCAAGTGAGTGTCAGTTGAAAATTCCAGCTACAGTCATCCACATAAACATGCGTGTCTGTGCCTGCTGCATAGTTAGAAGACAATTACCCTGGTTTTCACATTTTCTAGTGAGGAGTGCTATTCTGACTTAGCTGTCCTGGAAACACCTGCTCTGTTGTGTAATATTGATGAACCTGAGTTTGGAGCTGCTCGCTCTATACTTCTCTCTGTGAACTATAGGACACGCATAAATGATTAAAACTAGGCAACCAGAAACCTGATCCTGCCAGGCCTCCTTGGGATCAAATTCATTTATCAGCCCACCAAGGTCACTGACCTTGATTATCCAGAGCCTAGCTCCTGAAATGATTAATTGATCCATTCTCTCATTTCACTCATTTAATTTAAAGAGGGGGGAAAGCAAAAATATTTTCAATGAATTGACCTGTGCAGTCTAACTTCCCCCGCTGCATCCTCTAAAGTATTTATTAATGGTTGTGAGGAGCATCAGTACAGGTCATGGCAGAGAGAAGAATAAGCAAAGCAACCATTGCTCTTCTTACACATCTTCCTCATATTAATTAACTTGTGACCCCAAGTTTAATCCGCTCTGCAAATCTCTACACTATTCTAACTTCAAAAGGTGTGTAAGTACATGAATTGGAAGAATATTCAGGACTTGAAGTTTTAATTTTATTTCTGCAGAGAAAAATAAAGAATTTTTTAGTGTGCGTATGGTTATAATCAATGGAGAACCCTAACTTGAGTAAAACATCATTTTTCTCAAAAGCTTCAAGGCAAAAATTGTGCACTAGAAGTTCCTTGAAAAAAAATTTCCTACAAGTGATATTGCTGTCTTCTTCATGGAATAGTAAGCATAGAGAATATAATAAAAACATATGTGTAAACTAACGAATTTGCATTGTAGGAACCAAATAATCAAAGAATTCATTTATTCTAACCATCTGGACAGCATCATACAATATTGCAAAATGATTAAAATGGATTCTACTCAAAATATATTGGTAAATATTTAACAAGTGCTTGGAGGATGGGAGCCCTGATTTGTTGTAAATACAACCACTGGGACTGATTTCAAGCTTTCATGTAAAAAGTCAGCAAACACAGAGTTAGAAAGAAATGCGCTGTGATATACCACTGTGTGGTATTTTCTTCATACAGAATCTGCAAGATTTAACAAACAAAAAGTCAGAATGCCTGGTTAAATCTTAATTTCAGGTAAACAACAAGTGTTTTAGTATTAGTATTTCCATGTAATATTTGGGGAACAATTACATGAAGAGATTTTCCATTGTTTATGTGAAATTCACATTTAACTGGGCATCCTAGATCTTACCTGAGAGTCCTAATGTAGACACTGCAGACAGAAGGAACCTCAGTGTATAAATAACAGTAAACCATAATGATGAGTTTCGAGTATTTATTACCTCTTTTTGGAATATAATTTAAAAAAAATTTTTTTTTAAAGATTTTATTTATTTATTTGATAGAGAGATCACAAGCAGGCAGAGAGGCAGGCAGAGAGAGAGGAGGAAGCAGGCTCCCTGCTGAGCAGAGAGCCCGATGCGGGGCTCGATCCCAGGACTCCGAGATCCTGACCTGAGCCGAAGGCAGCGGCTTAACCCACTGAGCCACCCAGGCGCCCCTGGAATATAATTTAAAATTTGAGTTTATATAATCTGCTTTTTCATAATGACTGTGTCCGACCAACTGTATGCAAAATTCCTGAATATTTAACAATCAGCTTTTACAAGTCAGCTCTAGGACACCTCTGATATTTTACTTCAGTGTAATACAGTTTGCCAGAGTTAGACTTTGAAAATACAAATGATACAGAGTTTTAAGTGTATCTCAGCTCATAATACTACTAGAATTTTAAAATAACTGACAGACATGGCTTCGTTACATTTCACGGGAAGTAAATTTCATTGCAACCAAACTCTCCCAACCTCCACCCCATCCTTCCAGCCCCACCCCTGGGAAAATTTCTCTGTATCAAGGAAGAGTAAGTCTTCAGACTTCTTCCTTTCCATTTTTAGGGCTTTGTGTGGTAGCCAGCCCTCTTTAAAATTGGTAGGTATTATGGAGGGCACCTATTGCATGGAACACTGGGTGTGGTTCATAAACAATGAATTCTGGTACACTGAAAAGAAATTTAAAAAAATAAATAGGTATTAATGGTGTTAAAATAAAATTCAGATTTTGTCATAAAATAAAATAAAATGAAATGAAATTGGGTGATCTTAATGAAAAAGCTCTAACTTCAAAACTGCCATTTTTCTGTGGGGCTGAAGGGGCGGGGTGGGGGAGGGGACCTAGAGCAGAAGGTCCATTTGTTCCTGTGTTTAGCTGAGCAGTTTCATCACATGTTGGTAATGCAAAGATAAGCCTGGAATTTTGCTTGGGGTAAAGGTGAAAAACCTGCACTGATCCACAACAAAGTAATGGGGTTAGGAGTGTGTAGGTTTGCAGGTAGGGGAAAAACATGATGAAGATGAGCTCTAGAGAACAGGCTAAGGAGGAAGCCAAAACAACAGCTTATCTAATTTTGTTTGTTTTGCTTTGTTCTTTCTTTTTGTGCAGAACCACGTGATTACAGGCCCTTGATGTGAGTGCAGTGGAGGAGTGTTTGGAGAGGGACTTGGCTATTTCCAGGGTGGGCCTCTGGGGTCTTTGCTGCACCCCCTTTAGCTTCCAACACCCCTTCCTGCCCTGCCTGCTACCAGGTCCTTCCTCAGCCTTGGGAAGCCAACTGAGTGCACCTTTTATTTCTTCAGGTGATGGCTCTGGACCCCATGAGGGTCACAAATATGGAGCGTTTCACTAATCTGCCTGTCATCCTTCTGCAGGGGCCATGCTAATCTTCTTTGTATCATCCCAATTTTAGTACATGTACTGCCAGATCAAGCACCAGTTTGTCTAATTTTTAAAAATGAACTAGATACATACATACATTAAACAGATGTCCTTCACTTTAGTCAAACATTATGCTCAAAGGCATTTTTTAAATCAAGTCCTTTTTTGGACATGTGGGGCATTCCTATGTCATGGTAAAAGCCTGCAGGGTGAATGACCAATCACCCTAGATCTATATTATTTTTTATTAGACTAGGTTTCCTTTTAGGTTTTCTTTAAATGAGGAATCCCCAGTACAAATATTTTTTCATATTTATACATTCATGTATGATCTAGTTTAATTTTCATTTAATTTAATTAACATTTGTATTAAATGTTAATTTTAGATGTCAGTGGAGAGCATAAAGGTAGACTTTAAACTGTAGTATTAAAAACAGTGGTCTGTATTTCATGCCTGAACACATACCTGATACAGACATCTGCATGAAAAATTGCAAATTTGGGTATCAATACCAGAAGCTTTCTAGAAAGTTCTATTTTTCTCATTTCTAATATTAGGAAGTTATATGGCAAATAGGACCAGTTATTAAACATGTTTGCAGTTCCTTCTAGCTATGTGTATAGTAATACAGAGAAGTATTCCTACAGGATCTTCATTTTGTTTACAAACTTTTTTTAGTTTCCAAACTGAGTTTTAACTATACCAGAAATCTGTTATGTTATTGATAATAATTGACCTGGACAGAATTAAATCATTTCACTAGCATAACCAGTCTTCTAACCACTTAATTAGACTGATATTAATTGGATCAAAGATACATCCTAAAATTTTTTTAAAGATTACATCATTTGTCAAAATATTACCTAAAACACTCAGTGATGAAATTAATCCTCCTACATTTTATCGTTCTAAAATTGAATGTATTTCCACTTTTTCTCAGTGATATTGAAGATGTATAAATCAAAGAAAGAAATGGTAAACTTGTCCCAAATAAAAATGTGAAACTAATTCAAAAGTTTAGGCAAAATATTTCATAGATAGTATGGAATAAATAAAATACTAGAAATATAAGAGAAAGTGAAATGAAATGATTATAGCCAAGACTTTGTCTCATTGATAGAGTATTATATTGTGTTGCTATTGTTACTTGCTCCTATTAAAAAAAGAAATTATTGTATATAGGATTTTTATCTCATTCTTACATAATGTAGGCTTATTGTGGTTTCTATGGTTATTTGTTCCCATTAATTTTTACTTAAGCCTACCAGAGAGGTTGTAGTATTTTTGATCATACAATATTGAAAAGGCCACCAAATGACACTGAGGGTCTCAAGTTTACCAACCAGCTGGGTGACTTGGGTAAGTCACCCTGCCTCTCTCAGTCTCAGTTGTCTTCCCCAGAGAATAAAAAGTTGCAATATGTATTTTTTAAGCTTCCTTTCCAAAATTACAAAATTTCTACTTAAAAATCCTATCACTCTGCCCTCAAATGTTAAAACAAAAGAGCAGTTACTTTAAATGTCCCAACAATCTGTATGTGGTTCGGATGGTGAATAAGACTTCAGTAGCCCTTTTTGAGTTCTGTTTCATTAGATAAAAATCTCAGTTTTTTTCTTTAATCAAAACTTGATAATAATTGAGAATATTAATAAATGTTAATGTAACAGAGTTGTTAGAAGGAAAAGTTACATATTTTGGGAAAGTAATTATAGATTCCATCTTAACCAGAGCAATGGATTTGTTACCTAGTCACCAATGATTTGATTTAAAAATTATATGTCAGCTTGGGGGTGCCTGGGTAGCTCTGTTGGTTAAGCATCAGACTCTTGGTTTCAACTCAACTCATGACCTCAGGATCCTGAGATAGAGTTCCACATCGCGCTCTGCCTTGATGTGGAGCATGCTTAAGATTTTCTTTCTCCCTCTCCCTCTGCCCCTCCTCCCACTTGCAAGCTCTCTCTCTCTCTCTCAAAGAAGGAAATAAATAAATCTTTAAGATCCACAGACCTGTACACCTGAAACAAATAATACATTATATGTTAATAATAAAAAATAAAAAATAAATCTTTAAGAAAAATAAAATAAAACACAAAAAATATAAAATAAAAATAATATGTCAGCTTAAACATTTGCAAGGGGGGCTGTGTAGTTTTTCAAAATTACCTCAGGGAAAACACTACAAAAAAAATGTGAAGACTGCTGCCCCAAACAGTCTTATTTTGTTCAGTGCTTTGTTCCTAATCACAAACATAATACTAAATCCTCAATAAATTGAGTAATCCTCAATAAATCCTGAAGAAAAGTACTTGGAAATAAAGGGGATCTTGGCAAAATATCCTAGATGAGTAAATCCTTGTTTATTCTTTGCCACCTAGTATACAAGCTGACCCTCAACAGTTGGTAGCCATTTTGGTATTCCTTGAGTCTCTTGTGTTTGAGATGATATACTTTCCCACCATTTTGTTCACCCCTAAACACACACACACACACACACACACAGACACTGATGACGAAAAAAGTATTTAACTAAGCATATCATCCAGTCCTTCACAACAGTGTACTCAAAGCTCTGTGTAGCCAAGACATGGTGGTTTAGAAGCCTGGAACTCAGTGCTTCTCCCTCCAGCTGAAGAAAGGAAGAGAATACAAAAATAGGACCCTGCAGGGTAGAGTGAAATGTTGGGTAAATGCGAGGCAATTAGAAAAATAATTATTTTTCTTGTGAATTTACATGGATGAATTCCAGGTGTCCATGAATTCCAGAGCAATTCTTTAATATTTGTGTGTTCAAACAATTATACCTAAAAAGCATGTATTACTAGATATGTTGATGGGTTTTCTTTTACAGTGAACTAGCAATTGAAAGCAATTTTCAAAAAATAAGATGTTTGTTTAAGCCAGTATTTTTCCAGCTGTAAATCCCCTAGAATTAAAGGTCATTTTTCTCTGCTTTAAAAGTTCTGTGTTACTCAAGCCTAGGGAAGAAAAGGCAAAAAGCAATGTCTTTATTTGTGGATGAGCATCTTTAAAAAATTAATTTCCTCAGTGCAGTGCACCTTTAGTAATGATAGTTTAATGGCCTTATCTTTTAAAAAAACAACAAAATATTTCCTTAACAATTTTGCTTTTAGCAATATATCTGGCAGAAAAAAAAATCATGTGACTACATAAAGATGTTCAAAGATGCACACTGCAGAAAAAAAAAACAGAAAAATTGGGGGAAAAGCTTAATAATCAGGTATTGGATAAACACATTAAAGAACTTTTTTAGATGGTATAATATGCAGTTGTTTAAAAGGATAAGATAGGGTACCTGGGTAGCTCATTTGGTTAAATGTCTGCGTTCGGCTCAGGTCATAATCCCAGGGTTCTGGAGTGGAGCCTTGCATCCAGCTCCCTGTTCAGCAGGGAGTCTGTTTCTCCCTCTTCCTCTGCCTGCCTTCTCCCTGCTCATGCTCTGTCTCTGTCTCACTCTCTCTGTAAAGTAAATAAATAAAAGCTTTAAAATAATTTTTAAAAAATTAAAAAATAAGATGGAACTATGTTTGCTGACATTTAAATATGTTAAAGTAAATAAAGAAACAAACAAATTGAAGAAGGGTGTATATAATATAGCTCTATTTTTGTTAATAACCTGCAAACATAAAAGTTCATATGCACAGAAAAACTTGGAAGAATACAGACTAAGCCATTAATTATACTTACATTTGGGCAGTGGAATTGGAGTCAGCTTGGGTGAAAATTGTGACTCTTATTTTATATTTTCCTATATGTAAATCTTAACTATGAACAAATATCATTCTTACAACCTAAAAATGCCCAAAATCACTCACAAAAAGCATAATAACGTTAAAAATAAAATTGTTGGAAAGAAGGAATACATTTACTATTCTTTACAGATTATCTTAACCAGAAAAACGCAAAGAATTAATTGAAACTATTAAAATTAATGAGGGTTTAATAATGTAACTGTTTATAAGATACCTAACCCTCTAAAATATCTTATCAATTTTCTAATCATAGCCAGCTAAAAAGTATAATGTATAAAGTGTAAATGATCAAGAATAGTATTTTTGACTTGCTTTTTCCACTATCCATTCCATGGTTTCTTTGTCCCTAATCAGAACCTCATCTAGCTTTCTTCTCCTGGTGGAATGACCAAGACTCCATTCCTAAAGAGTCTGAATCCTCAATGATCTTGACTTAATGTGAGTTGTATAATTTTCCATCAACTTTCTTTTGGGACATGAGAGAACTAAAAGACAGCCCAGAGAATCCCCTAGTTTCTACATATAGGCCTTTAACTCTTTAGCAGTAACCCAATTTTCTCTTGGTAATTAGGATAAATCACCCTAGCCCTTGGACTAATTCCCTTCTTTCTCTTTTGGCTAAGTGGTATGAGGATTCCAAATGGGCCAGGTGGCAGTCTTATGTTCCAATTCAATACAACTATTGTTGTATTCCCAGTATACTATTCTTCCCTTGGAAAGCAAAACCCCCAAACCATCAGATCTCATAAGTACAGGAAAAGAAGCAAAAATTCTGTAAGTAGGTAAAAACTGAAAAACAATAAGTTATTAATTAGCCCAAGTGTTAAGTGAACAAACAGAATAAAAGATTATACATTCTAAGTAGTACACTAGAAAAAAAAAAAAATTGGAACCATGCAATGAGATCAGGGTATTATAACAAAGCGATAGTCAAAGAATACTCAAAAAAGAGATCTTGGAAATTAAAAATAAAATAGAAGAAAAAGATTTAATTCAATAGAAGAAGATGAAGATAAAGCTACTAGTAATCTCACAAAAAGCAAAATAGGAAAATTTAAAGAGAAAAGATAATAAAATTAGAGGACCAGTCTAAAAGTCCATCATTCAATTGATAAAATTACAGGAAAAAAGAGAGAGAGATAGAGAGAGAGAGAAAAGGGAACAACGGAAAATATTTAGCAAAATATTTTTTTAAATTTCTATAATTGAAGAATGTGAGTTTCTTAACTGAAATAGCCCACTGAATGTCCTTAGCAGTAAAAGAAAATAGATCCACCCCAAAGT